CGATTTCTACATGCGCCATTGAGTGACGTTACTGTCATCACATTGTGCAAACGTACCTACTGTCGGCAGGTGCCCTGGAGTTGATTTCAGCTCACAGGTCCCAAGTGGCCAAGAAGCACTGCCCCCAAAGAATGTTCCCATGAGGACCCACTGGGCCAACGGGACTCGTCAACTGAGCACTTAAGCGTTGTGCCACCACTTTTCCAGTTCTTTCACCCACTAGCAGAAACTCCGTACCCCGTACTTAGGCAATGGCTCGCTGTTACCCTTAAAAAAGGGAGCCCTGCCTCTCCTCAAGGCCGCCCTCGACGCAAGAGCACTTTGTTCTAATACCCTGGCACTCCATGATGTTCACCTTCCCAACACGATTTCTAAAGACAAATCTGGTGCCTAAGCAAATGTAGTGAAGAAAGGTGATGATACCCGGCTATCAAAAGATACAGCATCTTGGGTCTTAAAGGCTTGAAGGTAAGCAAGCAGCCATCTAGCAGGAAAGCAACAAAGCCCACATGGAAGAAGCACACCAGCCTATGAAACCACGAGGTGTCGACAGGATCACAAATCAGGCATCAGAAGACGCCCAAACCAGTAGTTCTCAACCTGTGGGGTCGTGACCCCTTTGGGGGTCGAACGACTCTTTCACAGGGGTCACCCGATTCATAACAATAAAAAAATTACAGTTACCATATAAAGGAGCAACAAAAATAATTTTATGGTGGTGGTGGGGGGTCACCACAACATGAGGAACTGCATGAAAGGGTCAAGGCATTAGGAAGGTTGAGACCCTCTGCCCAAAACAATCATATGGATGCAGACTAGGGGGGCCAGAGTAGAGACCCAAAGCCCATCTGTAGACAATTGGACACCTCTTACAGAAGGGTAACATGAAGAGACAACCCAGTAAGGTTTCAGCATAGAACTGATGAAACATACAACTTTCCTTTAGTTTTTTAATGCTTCCCCCACCCCCACTATCATGACCCCAATTCTACCTTACAAATCTG